CGTTTCTAAAGTCTAAAAAAAAAAATAAAAAATACTACTTCTTCTTCCTCAAAAACCTCTGTAAAACTTTTTTACAGACTTAAAAAGACGAGGGAAAAAATATTGATACATTAAAATATCACAATAAATTCATATGCTGATATAATGCCATTTAAAAAACACGATATCAATCTCTTTTACTAATGAAATATTGCTATATAAAATCCCCCGAAAATTCACGAAATTTTGCCATATTTTTATATGTTGATTTATTGACGCGGTATCGATCTATTTTACTAACAAAATCTCACAAGAATTTGCAAAATATCACGAGAGTTTGTAACAGAACGATGAAATTTCACGAGATTTTGAAAGTAAAATAGATCGATACCGCGTTTTTAAAAATCAATTTGATATCAGCATATGAAAATATATTTGAGTATATTATTTTTCAAAGTGTCAGAAAAGGATAACAAAACTGCTATTTTCAATGACTACGTATTTTTGTCCAGCTTTAACATCGGTATCGATATCGGTTATCGGCTACATGAGTTTTAAAATATCAGCATATCGGATATCGGCCAAAATCCCTAGTATTACATAAAGATATATATTTTATGTATTTTACATATTTGGTTACATTGCATTAGGTCTGTCTGTACAATTCTAACAAGATATTTTATTTGCCAGAATTGAAAGACTGCCACATGCCGGTGGAAGGAGAGGTATATTCTCACAACAGCAGGAGACCATTATTGTAATCATGGATCCTCCAAATAATCATCATTCGTCTGTGTGAGAAATACAAGCAGCGAGTTGAGGAAGACACTGGGAACTCTTGAAGGGAATTCAACCATTTTGATGTCTTCCACACTATACCGATATATGTTCCATCCCCTCCACATAACCCTCACCACCCCCATCCAACTCTACCAAATCTCTCCCACATTCTCTTTAAACCCCTCTCACCCTCACACCACATACCCCATACCTACCACATACAATACCCTCTCAAAACCCATTCCACAATCTAACCTATACCCCAACCCCCCCCCCCCCCCCCCCCCCCCCAACCCATATATTATCATACCATCTACAAGTATACATATGTGTTTGTCGATCAACTCCTGATAACTCGCTATGTTCATTTACTGTCACTCTATCAAAATAAACTTTAACCACAATTATACAATACATGTTTTCAATGCTACCAATGTGAGAGAAGAGGCCTCATGACTATAGATACTCTTTGGGATGACCAGTCCTCGCCGCCCTACACGACACTGTCTCACCAAGAGGAGAAGGAGAGTTGGCACGCAACATTCTATTGGGTCATCGAGCCATTGTAGAGTTGCAGGGCAGTGTGTCGACTTGCCGGGTGCAACGCCATGTGCCTTTAGGACTTACAACACGTGCCCATTCTCTTATAACGCTTTCTGTATGCACTAGGGCTCGCTGCAACAACGATCGATTTAGTCGACTAAAAAATCGACTTTTAAAAGCGGTTGGCCAACGAATTTTAATCATCGATTAGTTGGGTCGATCGCTGATTATATGAGTCATCCGCTGGCCGCATTCATCACATCCACTTGAGTGAAACGGGGAGGAAGAAAAAAAATATGGCGGAAGCGAGGCCAGCGCTGCAGGTGCAGTGTTGCCAACTCAGAGGACTTTTGAACTTCAACTCAAACTCAATCTTTATTGTCTAAATGTGCTACATGTATATTTACAAACAAAGATGAAATTTCCATCCCCTCAACCCCACGGTGCATAATAAAATATAAAAATATATATATATTAAATGAGCCATAGCACGAAAATAAAAACCTAAGATATAAAATAAATATTAAAATATTAAATATGTAAACAGTAGTGTGAATGGTGCAAATAGTGCATAGAGTAGCAGTCCTGGGGAGAGTAGTGGAAAATAGTAGAGGATGGGGATATTGGGGGGTCAGGGGGGGGCGAAGGGGGGCAGGGCAGGGAGGGAATTGAGCATCCTCACTGCCTGATGGAAGAAGCTGTCTCTGAGCCTACTGGTTCTGGCCCGGAGACTCTGCAGCCTCCTCCCGGACGGCAGCAAGGTGAAGACATTGTGGGCGGGGTGGGTGGGGTCACCTGCGATCCTGGTGGCTCTGCCGGTGAGGCGGGAGTGATAAATGTCCAATAGAGAGGGGAGGGGGACACCGAGGATCTTCCCAGCTGCTTTCATGGTGCGCTGCAGTGTCTTGCGGCAGGCTGCAGTGCAGGCTCCGTACCACACGGTGATGCTGCTGGTCAAGATGCTCTCGATGGTGCCCTTGTAGAAGGAGTGCAGGATGGGGGACGGGGCTCTTGCTCTCCTCAGTTTCCGCAGGAAGTAGAGTCTCTGTTGGGCTTTCTTTCCCAGGGACGCGGTGTTGGTGTCCCAGGACAGGTCTTGAGAGATGTGGACACCCAGGAACTTGGTGCTGCTCACCTGCTCCACCTCAGCACCGTTGATGATCAGGGGAGCGTGCTGGGCAGGCCTTCTCCTGAAGTCCACCACAATCTCCTTTGTCTTCTCTACGTTCAGATGGAGATGGTTTTCCTGGCACCACGTGGCCAGGCGGCTCACCTCACTCCTGTAGTTTGTCTCATTGTTGTTGTTGATGAGACCCACCACAGTTGTGTCGTCTGCGAATTTGATGAAGATTTTGGAGCTGAATGTTGGAGTGCAGTCGTGGGTCAGCAGAGTGAAGAGGAGGGGGCTCAGCACACATCCTTGGGGGGCCCCCGTGTTCAGTGTGATGGTGCTGGAGGTGTTGCTGCCGACCCGGACAGCCTGTGGTCTCCCCGTCAGGAAGTCCAGCAGCCAGTTGCAGAGGGAGGTGTTGAGTCCCAGCTGGACCAGTTTGCCGATGAGCTGCTGGGGGACGATGGTATTGAATGTTGAGCTGAAATCGATAAACAGCATTCTGACATGTGAGTCCCTGGTCTTTTCAGACCCCTCCAGCGAAAATTTTTCAAAAAAGCGACTAGCGACAAATCTGGCGACTTTTTACGGTGTCACTGGCGGCTTTTGGAGACTCTTACGTGAAAGCATGTATCGTTCCTACTCTGCCGTGGGGCGCCTCCCCCATCCCAACCCCGTTCTCCCTCTCCCACAGGAATCCCTCTCAGCGCTGCAGTCAGAGCCGCAGGATGTTTACCCTCAGCGTCCAGACTGCAAATGAAGCGCGCATGCGCCGGGATTGATGGCGCAAATTGATCACAATAATTAAAATAGCCTGCGCTTTGTAAAGCGAAAAAAGTCGTAACATGCAACTTTTGTAAAAACAAATGAACATGGCACGGAAGCACCACTGTTAAGACGCAGCACCTGAAAAGACAACACGTTGGAGCCTTCGATGGCAGTGAAGAGAGCTGATCAGCAGGGTGAGCGACCGTGTTTGTTTCGTTTTAAAGTGTGGAAACGTAACGTTAGTTTCTCAGGTAGCTCATCTGATGCTTTCCTTACCGTGTTAGTAGGTTACAGGCAGTGATAAGGTTGGCTACTTATTTTACTTTTAATTTCATTGGAATTAGCTTAAGCAGCATTTATATTTTCTTTATAAATAAATTAACTTGCAAATTATGAGGGCAAGGCGTTTAAATCTTCTGGCAAAGATAAAGTAAAGAAGATCCTGCAATTTATGGAAGTAAAGCAGAATAAAATCCAGCAAGATCAGTAATATGTCAATTAATTATATGCCACATTCCCATGTAAATATCTGTCTTTGGAGGATGTGTTTTTTAGCACCCCTAGTTCTCTCATTTTTATTCCAAATACAATTTATAATTTGAATCACAGGGCTATTTTTATCTCTATGGTTCAGTTCAGTATTTTCTCAAGTAGCAACTTTAACTGCTATACTTTCCTGTCTTAAAAGGCAGAACTCTTCTAGTCTAAAAAAAACTCATTTGTTGAAATGGGTGGCCTATTGTTTGAACCCCTTAGGGGCTTTTAAAAACAAAAATGTCTTTTTTTGCACTTTATGAAACAAAGTAGCCTATATTTTGTGGATGTACAGCTACATTTCTCATGTAAGTTTGCGTAGTTTTAACAGAAACATTTATTTTTCATATTGCACCAGCACAGTTAATGAGCAACCTGTACTTGTGTGCTTGTTTGTTCTGTCTAAAATGTTTATTTTGGAATAAAGAGGTTAATATAAAAAATATTTTTTGTCCGATTCATCGAAAAAATAACCGGCCGATTCATCGATTTTTACAATAATCGTTGCAGCCCTAGTATGTACTACAGAAAGCATTACTGAGACGTGAAGAGAGAGGTGATGAGCAGGCAGAGCATCCCATGTACGTGGTAATCTGGGACAATGTGAACTTTCACCGTGGTAGATCATAATAAACCTTTTATAGATATTTTTTTATTGAGGTCAGGGTTGAAAAAACCTAACTGTAAAGCAGTGGGTGGATGGGTGATCAGTAAATGTATGGATGATGGACAACAGAGAGACAAATGAAAAAACAGATAAATGAACAGCTAACATGAATGCAGAACATCAAATTCAGAAAGCATAAATTGACCTCCTTTTCCCCAAGTTATTCCTATCTGGTAAATATTGATCTTAAATTCCAAACTTAGACAATATGTTCAGAAACCATGAAGCTGGACCTCAACCAGCATAAAGCATAGATTGTATTGTTTTTTTTATCCACATAAATATATAGATCATAAAATATGTTAATCAAACGACTTGTTATTTAGTTCAAGTTCATTCATTCTGATAAATATGGCCTTTAAACTAAAGCTGACAACAGAAAGTCTAATCAAAGAAGGCAAAATGAACTAAAACAAGAAATGAACAGCAAGATATTAGGACGGAAATGCATCTAAGCGAAATGTGAATATATCTCTTTCTTATAAATTTACTTATATAACATGTTACTCAATAATATTCAATAAATAAAAAGTTTTAACTGAGAACGGTAGTTTTTTTAATGTCCTCACCAACGGGCGGGAAGGCTAGCCCCATAGCAGCTAGCTAACATTAATTTACCTGTTCCAGTTGGCCAAATTCCGCCATGAATCCATCCAGGTTAAAACAGTTTAACTTCGCCATCACGTTAAATATAAAATATGGTCAAATAAATATCAAAGTTATCCGGTTGTATGGTTTCTATAACTGTCACTGATGCCTAGCTAACAGCTAACTCCGAGCCGCCGCCATTTTGCTATTTTTTTACGAGCGTGCTTCCGCTGCCTGGTATGGAAGAGGATTAGGGCCACTAGGAAAAAAAAAAAAAAAAAAAAAGTTAAATGATTTTTAAATTTTATTTCAGTATACAGTTTTTCTGGATTGTTTACACACATTTCTGAAAACATGCCTCGTATTCTCAGAACTCTACACACAAATCCAACAAACACACACACAATGGGCAAAGTCCTTCAATTCTCCTGCAAAATGAAACTTTACATTCAAAACAGTTTTATCTCTTCACAAAAGGCCATTTTGTGTTCAGATGACACACACAAACTATCATATGAACAGACAATTAAAAAAAGCATTTAAACACTGATGTGCTCAGTGTAAAACACCATTCTCCATTCATCATAATGACTTTTTGTTCAGTGTTACACTTACTACAGACATTAAATACATAAGTGCGTTGTAAAATATTTTAGAATATTGTTTTTATACTCAGAACACACAAATATACTGTAACATACATGTTTTATTTTTCCCACAAAACAATGTACACAGTGTACATCCCAACTGACACAAAGTTGCACATACAGTGCAGAAGATTTTACTGTATACAGTTACAGTAATAATAAAAAAACAAAACAAAATAAACTATGCTGCATCCTCTCTTCTGTTTCGGTCTGGCCACAGCACCTCATCTACATCACAAGCAATGTTTTCCCTGGCCAAGCAGCGGGGGAAATATCGCCTAGCATGGCGAATCCAGCCATGAAAAGCATCAACTGCTATATCTCCACATGCGTCTTCCATAGCTTGGAAAAGGGGTATACGCGTTTCTGAATTTAGGTCGTACATTTTCCATCTCCAGGCAGAAAAAAATTCCTCAATAGGATTGAGGAATGGAGAATATGGAGGGAGATAAACAACTGAAAAGCGTGGGTGGTCAGTGAACCAGTTATGAACCAGAGCAGCCCGGTGGAAGCTTACGTTGTCCCAAATGACAACGTACCTGAGCTGCTCTGGGCCGTCTATCTGATCTGGTGGAATGAGTGTGTTGTGTAGGGTGTCCAGGAATGTGATCAGATGGGCAGTGTTGTAGGGGCCAAGGGTAGCATGGTGATGGATGATGCCATGGTCGGTCATCGCTGCACACATTGTGATGTTCCCTCCGCGCTGGCCAGGGACTTCAACAATGGCACGCTGGCCGATTATATTCCTTCCCCTCCTTCGTCTTTTTGTGAGGTTGAATCCAACCTCATCAATGAAGAAGAACTGGTGCTCCACTGCATCCACCTCCAGCTCAAGGACTCTCGGAAACACACATGACAATATCAGAAGTAGACATGGAGCGGTCTCTATTGTGAAGCACAATCATTATGATTACAATATAATAGAAAGAAATATGTATGATTTATACAATGTTGACAGTATGCATCAAAGGTGGGAATGTACTGTATAGGACGTACTTGCACATAGTTATATCGCAATTCTTTGACCCTTTCTGAATTGCGCTCAAATGGCACCCTGTAGACCTGCTTCAAGTCCTCAGTTTTGTTTTCTGATCAGGACACGGTCAGCGTGTGATAACTCTTACCCTAATCCCAACTTTTGAAATATCTCATTGTTTTCTATTATTTTTCTTTGTATTTTGCATAAGGTAATGGCTATTTTCAATAGAACCATGTTCATGGAACTTATGTTTCGTGATCTAAGGAGGAACCTGGGAGACGCGCGCCCCATCCACACTTGTTGGTAATTTGTCGCGCATTACTCTGCAATCGCTCGCTCTGTAAGTAGAGAATAAGCTTATACGCGCTCACTCGCTCACATTCACACGCTGTGTACGCGATAAACACAATGCCTATCGTCTGCTCTGTCAGTCCACAGGTAATGCTGTTATCTCTATGTTGCTGTACTCCATTGAGTACTGTATTGATACTTTGCAGTACTGCAGTTTTGTAGTAGAGAGTAGATGTTCTTACCTATTCTCATTGCGGAAAGTTTCAGGGGATGATGGGTATTGCTACAGTGGTACCTGCTCAAATTTGGCTGTACTCTTTGCCCAGCCCTCCCTCATTGTTAGGCCATGGTTGACCACATGGTCAACCAAAGTTGCTCGGATCTCATCAGAAATGATTGTCCTTGGCCTTCCTCGTCCTCGTCCTCCCCATCGTCCTCCTCTTACTCTCACTCCTCTGGCTCTGGCTCTGCCTCTGTTTACAACATTGGCCTCCATTGCTCCAAAACAGAAGAGCTCACCTGTTGCCCTTCTATGCTAAAGCTCTGATTGCTGAGTGGAAACATGTGTGTTAGGTGTTTGCCCATGTGAGGAGTCAGTGTGCATAGTAGGGAAATTAACTTTAGAGTTTTGAATAACAGTGTGTTCCTTGTGAAAACAAAAGATTTTCTTCATGACAATTGTGTGTAGAGTTTTGGAAAAAGTGTGTTTTAGAACTGCAATTTGAGTGTAAAGCAGGAATTGTGCTTGTAGTTTAGCAGAAGAATTGGGTTCAGGGGTTGTGCATGAGCTTACAATTTTGTCGGTCATTGTGTTTCAAGTACAATTTATTTTGTGTGTAAACAGAAGCGAGGAAAAACTGTAATATGAGAATGCTTTGGAAGTGTGTGTGAGACGGAGGAAAAAAGTTACGAATTCTAAGATTTAGAAGGCAGTATTCTGAGAAAAAAGTCCCAGAATTCTGAGTTTAAAGTTATAATTTTGAGAATAAATTCAGAACTCTGAGATTAAAGTCAGAATTCTGACTTTTCTTCCTATAATAAACTGAAATAATATTTAAAAATCAGTTAACTTTTTTTATTTCTTCAGTGGCCCTAATCCTCTTCCGTAGCCTGAAGACTAGCCTCTAAAATTTAAATAAAAACATGATGGGAAGAACATCAGTTTACACACATATACATCATAATTAAGATAATAAAATTTGAGTTATATCAACCGTATTATTTTTTTTATGGAAGCCCATTTTTATGGGGTGCCGTTTGTAAAGTCAAACAGTCAAAAATTAGTAGTAATATTTATGGTTATTGAGCTGTTTTAACAGAAAAATACGGGGGTTATTTTTTTCCAAGTCATTTTTTCACTATCTCAGTCAATAAAAAACTTACTTTGTTAAATAAATATTAAGTTTGCAAATTAAACATTTAGTTTTTAAAATAAATATTTAGCTCCAAACTAAATATTTAGCTTGTTAATTAAATATTTATTTAACAAAGTAAGATTTTTATAAATGAATGAATGACATAGTAAGAAAATGACTTGGAAAAAAATAAACCCCTTATTCTCTTAAAATACGCTAAATAACCATAAAAATTTTCCAAATTTTTACTGCTTAACTTTACAAACAGCACCCCGTACATTTGCACCACTTGACAGTAAGAAAGAACAAATGGTATGTCATAATTATTAGATATAAAGTCATAATTTTGGCTGTCAAAGTCATAATTATGAGATCTTAGTATGGGGTAAGACATTTGTTAATAAAGACAAATACCCTAAAAATGTCTAAATTTTTTAATGAAAGTCAGTAATAAATACATTAAGGATATGTATTTTTTTCCCTTGTCAACTCATATATACATGTGACATCAGATGTTCATCTGTTAGAATACAAGCTGAGAAATTAATAAAACAAGTTGGGAAGTAACATCTTTGCACTGAGGCAGTACTAATCACAAGTTAAGAAATTTACAATTAGAAATCACAAGGTTACAAGGACATATAACAAATTTAAAAGGAGAAATAAAAATATCTGAGCACACAAATTAACAAACACATAAGCAAACTGACATTCCCAAGTACAAATGATAAATTTTAAATAGCTAATTCCTATTTTTAATGTTGATAATTTGTCATGTGTACTTTTCTTGTTGCAAAGTGCTTCATTCTCTCTCTAGTCTCCTATTCTGCAGAATCAACTTCCATCTGCTTCCATCAACACCCTTGTTTATAGATGCTGGAGATCGGGCTGTTTTCCAGTGTGGTCCTGTTTCTCTGACCGTGACTGAGTGGATGTGCTCTCTTCATCCTCTGTTATGGGAGCTGGCTCAGAGCTCGTCTGCCTGGCTGTGTGTTTCCTGGACGGGGCCGCCTTTTACAGCCTCTTTTTGTGTCTCTGCTTCTGTCTCCTTGAACCCCAGTGGGCCTCAGCAGATGGCCGCTCACACTGAGCCTGGTTCTGCTGGAGGTTTCTTCCTGTTAAAAGGGAGTTTTTCCTCTCCACTGTCTCTACAAGCATGCTTAGTGTGAGGGATTGCTGAAGAGTCAATGAGTCGATGCAATCAGCTGGTTTTCCTTAGATAGAAAACTTTGAATCAATTTGACTGAATGATCTGGTTGAACTGTGAAGTGCCTTGAGATGACATGTGTTGTGAATTTGGCGCTATATAAATAACCTGAATTGAAATGAATTGAATTGTTGTATCTTTTTAATTTTTATTTAAGACATGTAAACTTGTATTCTCACAGATGAGGATCTGATGGAACAAAATCAATTAAAATTAAATGTATTAACTCTATTGATCTTCTTTACCAAATTCAGACATTTACTCAGAAGTTTTTCTCTTACTGCATATTTAAAGTCATAATTTTGACATTTAAAGCCATTATAGGGAGATTTAAAGTAAAAAAAAATAGTGGATATAACATTCAAAGTCATAGTTATTAGATACTAAGATATATATTTTCGATTTCCAAAGTCATAATTATGAGATACAGTCATGATTATGAGATTCTGCTCAAAGTATCAAATAAAAGTGACTTTAATCTCCTAATTATGACTTTGAAAGTTGAATTATACTTAAAATCTAGTTACTATGAATCTAAATTTTATGATTTGGACTTTGAAAGTCAAAATTATGAAGTAGTATATCATAATTATTACTTTATATTTCATAATTACCATATGACGTATAAAATCATATCACCATATGGTGTCTTAACTTGTTTTCCAGGAGGAAAAATGTTGTTTGATTTAACTGTGGAAGATCAATGTTAAAAAAATACATTT